CGGCATGGATCAGAGTGGCATGGTGCCCCCTGGTGTGTATCAGCGTGGCATGGTGCCACCTAGCATGGATCAGCGTGGCTTTGTGCCACCCGGTGTGGATCAGGGTACTGTAGTAGTACCACCTGGTGTGGATCAGCCTGGCTTGGTGTCACCTAGTGTGTATCAGCGTGGCATGGTACCCCCTGGCATGCATCAGCGTGGCATGGTGCCCCCTGGTGTGTATCAGCGTGGCATGGTGCCACCTGGTATGGATCAGGGTGCTGCTGTACCACCTGGCATGTATCAGCATGGCATGGCACCACCTGGCATGGATCAGCATGGCTTTGTGCCACCTGGTGTGGATCAGGGTGCTGTAGTAGTATCTCCTGACAAAGATCAACATGGCCTGGTGCCAGCTGGTGTGGATCAGCGTGGTTTGATGTCCCCTGGCATGGATCAGGGTGCTGTAGTAACAACTGGCATGGATCAGCATGCCATGATGCCCTCTGGCCTGGATCAGGGTGCTATAGTACCACCTGGCGTGGATCAGCATGAGTTGGTGTACCCTGGCATGGATCAGTATGGTTTTGTGTCACGTGGTGTGGATCAGCGTGGGTTGGTGTCCCCTGGCATGGATCAGCGTGGGTTGGTGCCACGTGGAGCGGATCAGCGTGCTGTAGTACCACATCTCATGGATCAGCGTAGGTTGGTGCCCCCTGGCATGGATCGGCGTGGCTTGGTGCCACGTGGTGTGGATCAGCGTGGCTTAGTGCCACGTGGCGTGGATCAGCGTGCTGTAGTACCTCCAGGTGTGGATCAGCGTGGTTTGGTGCCCCCTGGCATGGATCAACGTGCTGTAGTACCACCGGGTGTGGGTCAGCATGGTTTCATGCCACCTGGTGTGGATCAGCGTGGATTAGTGCCCCCTGGAATGGATCAGCGTGCTGTAGTACCATCGGGTGTGGATCAGCATGGCGTGGTACCAACTGGTGTGGATAAGCGTGCTGTAGCGCCAGCAGGTGTGGATCAGCATGGCTTGGTACAACCTGGTGTGGATCAGCGTGGCTTGATGCTAACTGGAGAGGATCAGCGTGGCTTGGTGCCCCGTGGCATGGAGCAGCGTGCTGTAGTGCCACCGGGTGTNGCTTGATGCTAACTGGAGAGGATCAGCGTGGCTTGGTGCCCCGTGGCATGGAGCAGCGTGCTGTAGTGCCACCGGGTGTGGATCAGCGTGGCTTGGTGCCACGTGGTATGGATAAGCGTGGGTTGGTGCCCCCTGGCATGGATCAGCATGCTGTAGTACCAGCAGGTGTGGATCAGCATGGCTTGGTGTCCCCAGGCATGGATCAGCGGGCTGTTGCGCCAGCAGGTGTGGATCAGCGTGGCTTGGTGCCACCTGGCATGGATCAGCGTGGGTTGGTGCCCACTGGCATGGATCAGCGTGCTGTAGTGCCACCAGGTGTGGATCAGCGTGGATTGGTGCCACGTGGCGTGGATCAGCATGGCTTAGTGCCCCCTGGAGTGGATCAGCATGCTGAAGCACCAGCAGCTGTGGATCAGCATGGCTTGTTACCACCTGGCATGGATCAGCGTGGATTGGTGCCCCCTGGCATGGATCAGCGTGGCTTGGTGCCACCAGGCGTGGATCAGCATGGGTTGGTGCCCACTGGCGTGGATCAGCGTGGCTTGGTACCTCCTGGCATAGATCAGGGTGCTGTAGCACCACCAGGTGTGGACCAGCGTGGCTTTGTGCCACCTGGCGTGGATCAGCATAGCTTGTTGCCACCTGTTGTGGATCAGCGTGGGTTGGTGCCCACTGGCATAGATCAGCTTGCTGTAGCGCCACCAGGTGTGGATCAGAGTGGCTTGGTGCCACATGGAGTGGATCAGCGTTCTGCAGCACCACAAGGTTTGGATCAGCGTGGCTTGGTGCCACCTGGCATGGATCAGCGTGCTATAGCCCCACCAGTTGTGGATCAGCGTGGCTTGGTGCCACCTGGTGTGGATCAGCGTGCTATAGCGCCACCAGGTGTGGATCAGCGTGGCTTGGTGCCGCCTGGCATGGATCAGCGTGCTGTAGCGCCAGCACGTGTAGATCAGCTTGGTTTGGTGCCACCTGGCATGGATCAGCATGGGTTGGTGCCCACTAACGTCGATCAGCGTGCTGTAGCACCAACAGGTGTGGATCAGCGTGCTGTAGCACCAACAGGTGTGGATCAGCGTGGCTTGGTGCCACTTGGCGTGGATCAGCGTGGGTTGGTGCCCACTGGTGTGGATCAGCGTGCTGTAGCACCACCAG